CCTTCCCTCCTTCTCCCCTCCCCTCCCCCCCTCTCCCCTATCACCTGTTTCATGACTCTTCGCCCCAATTTTATCGGTCGGGTCATACTTCCCTCTAATCTTCGTTAGTGTTATTTTTTCTCTTCTCTTTCTCTCTATTTATTATTATTTTTTCCCCTCTCTCTCTTTCGTTTTTTTTTCTTTCTTTCTTTCCTCTCCTCCTCCTTTCTTCTTCCTCCTTTCTTATCCGTCAGACTTTGGATTTTAATAGACTGGCGTAGAAGGGAGAGAGAGAGAGAGAGAGAGAGAGAGAGAGAGAGAGAGAGAGAGAGAGAGAGAGAGAGAGAGAGAGAGAGAGAGAGAGAGGAGAAAGAGAGAGAGAGAGAGAGAGAGAGAGAGAGAGAGCGAGAGAGAGAGAGAGAGAGAGAGAGAGAGAGAGAGAGAGAGAGAGAGAGAGAGAGAGAGAGAGAGAGAGGGGTAAGGAGGAGGGGGGGGGAGGGCTTGAGTCATGGGGGATCCCGCTACAGAGAACAAAGGAGGAACAGCATTAAACATTTACCTCATCTTGCGTGCGTAAGTGTGCAAAAAGGAAGAGAAAGAGAGAGAGAGAGGGAGAGAGAGGGGGGAGAGAGAGAGGGGGGGGGGAGAGAGAGAGGGGGGAGAGAGAGAGAGAGAGAGAGAGAGAGAGAGAGAGAGAGAGAGAGAGAGAGAGAGAGAGAGAGAGAGAGAGAGAGAGAGAGAGAGAGAGAGAGGGGGGGGGGGGAAGAAGGGAGGGAAGGAGGGAGGGAGGGAGGGAGGGAGGGAGGGAGGGAGGGAGGGAGGGAGGGAGGGAGAGAAAGAAAGAGAGCGAGAAAGAGAGAAAGAGAGAAGAGAGAGAGAGAGAGAGAGAGAGAGAGAGAGAGAGAGAGAGAGAGAGAGAGAGAGAGAGAGAGAGAGAGAGAGAGAGAGAGAGAGAGGCAAACAGACAAACAGACAGACAGGCAGAAACAGAAACTGCAAAAAAAAATCCTTCTTGTTATTACTTTCTCCTTCCCTAAAATTACCTCTTTTTCTTCTTTTTTTTGTTATTATCTTTCTTTTTTTCCTTTTTTTGCGTCGCTTAATTGACCGAAATACAAAAAAGGGGACATTTATCTAGCACTCCCAACCCCTCTTTCTCTCTCCTTGCCTTCTCTCTTTTTTGCCCTCTATTCCCCTCTTCCCCTTCCCCTTGTTTTTTTCCCTTTCCCCTCACATCTTTCTCAGTTTGCTCTTCCCTTTTTTTTTTGTCTCCCTCTCTTCTGTCTCCATTTTCTTGTTATCTTATCTTTCTTTGTCTCTTTTCTTCTTTTTGTCCCTATTTTTTTTCTCCTTATATTATCATCTCCTCTTCCTCCCCTTTCCTCTCCCCTCGTTTCTATTCTTTTCTCTCCCCTCTTTCTTTCCCTTCCTCTTCCCTTCTTCCCTTCCCTCGTCTTTTCTCTCTTCCTTTATTCTCCCTCGCTCTTCTTTCTCCCTTCCCCTTACACTCCCTCCCCCTTCTTCCTCCCTTCCTTTCATCCTTTCTCCTCTTCTTTCTTTCCTCCCCTTACCCTCCCCTCCTCTTCTTTCTCCTCTCCCCTTATCCTCTCCCCTCTCCTTCCCCTTCCTCCCTCACCTTCCTCTCCTCCCTTTCCTCCTTCATCTTTCTCCTCTCTCCTTCCCCTTCCTTCCTCCTCTTCCTCCCCTCCCCTTACCCTTACCCTTACCCTTCCTCCTCTTCTTTCGTTCCTCCTCTTCCTCCCTCCTCTTTCTCCCCTCTTCTTCCGCTCTTCTTCCCCTCTCCTCTCCCCTCTCTTACCCTCTCCCCTCTTCTTCCCACTGGATTATTTCCTTTTCATTTCGCCCTCAAGGATTTTTTTTTGTGTGTGAAGTCGACGTGATATGCTTTTGTCTTGGGCATTCGTGAGCTGTGTTAGCTTTTTTGTTGGAGGTGTGGTGCTGATGTAGAGGGGGGGTTTTGCGTGTGTTTGGGTGTGGTTGGGTGTGTTTTGGGTGTGTTTGCGTGTTTTTGCGTGTGTTTAGGTGTGTTTTGCGTGTGTTTGCGTGTGTTTGGGTGTGGTTGGGTGTGTTTTGGGTGTGTTTGCGTGTTTTTGCGTGTGTTTAGGTGTGTTTAGGTGTGTTTTGTGTGTGTTTGCGTGTGTTTGGGTGTGGTTGGGTGTGTTTTGGTGTGTTTGGGTGTGTTTTGCGTGTGCTTGAGTGTGTTTGGGTGTGTTTTGCGTGTGCTTGAGTGTGTTTGGGTGTGTTTTGCGTGTGTTTGAGTGTGATTGGGTGTGTTTGCGTGTGTTTAGGTGTGTTTTGCGTGTGTTTGGGTGTGTTTAGGTGTGTTTGGGTGTGTATGGGTGTGTTAGCGCGTGTTTAGATGTTTATGTGTCTATGTGTGTTTGTAATTTTCTTGTGTTTGAGTGTGTTTACGTGCGTGTGTGTTTGGATGTAAGACAGGTAGACAAACAAACAGACACAAACTGAGACAGACACAGACAAACAGCCAGAATCAAACAGACAGAGAAACAATGTATCTATGTGTACGTATATATGTCCATTTACGTATACATCCGTGTGATAACCTCACCTCAAGTTTAAAAACACGCGTCGAGGCCTTAACCCATGTAAAATCTGATATTTGATAGTCTGCCCCAAAAC